CGGAATTGACCGGCCATATCTCAGTGCAATTTGACCAGGCATATGCGCATGTGTTATGTCCGGTCATATGGACGTGATTTATGCCCGGTCATTTGTCGAGGTACGATCTGAGCGATCTCTAGCATATGTTTCAAATCATAATGCGCGGGAATATGTTACAGGCGTACCAAACTAGATTGAGTGTTTTTATTTGAACATAATTGGCCAGAATTTATGTTTTTGCGAGTGTTTTTAGCATATGATTGGCGAGATCATGTAGTAAATTGAGTTTCATTTGCGCGGTCAAATATGGTCGCAATCCTTAATGATGGCACCTGATTAGACGTGTAATGCCAACAATTGCACTCGCGCATATTATTGACGAATCATGCGCGGTCGTTAGGGCTGTTGTGGTTTGATGCTAGTCAATTGAGATTTATGATCGCGGATTTATATACTCGAGCGGTTATTGGTTACGAATTTGTTTTACCGCGCGCTCACTGGTTGCGCATTGGGCCGAAAATGACCGCGCATCTATTATTGGTCGTGCTTTTTTGTCGGTTTTGTGTACAGTGTCTGGGCATAGTTCGCGCCCGCCACCCACCCGAAATTTTCGGGTGGGGAATAATACGAAACACTACCACGCGATGAGACTCGTGCGAACGAGGAATTTCAGGGATACAAATCCTTGTAGGGTAATGTTCCGGGGAAAAAAAACACCTCGAAAATGCCCTGGCGTGGCCACTCGAGCAATTATCACTGAATTGGATGGCCACGCGAGCAATTCTCTCCACCAGCTTCCAAGAGCTGTATCACAGCGTCCAAAAACCTTCCGGCATTTGCACCTTCGACAGGGCCCCAACTTCGACCGAACCTCAGCCCCACCAAGCCTGTGCCTGAAGTTTCCATACCAGTTGCTTCCAAAAGATTCTGGCCAGTACAGGTGGGGGCACTAGCAGAGTGTACTCATTCCAAGCCTGTACCGTGTTGGTGGTGGCCCCCAAACCAGCTCAATTTCCCGTTTCCCCCCATTTCCCCCCATTTCCCCCTTTTCCGCCTCTCCTCCAATATTCTCCCCCTCTACAGCAACCTGATCAGCTACTTGTGTAATCCAAAGGTTCCTTCCTGCTTTACCTGGTGCTAGTCATTTTCCTGTTTTATTAGTCTTTCACAACCTTTTTACAATTCCTTATCAGCTCTTGGATCTGGAAATCGGGAAGCTTTTACTTCAGGTTTTGTGAAGGTCTGGCGGAAATGGATCTGCTAATGCTCGTAACGAGCGTTTTCCGCGCTGACGTCTCGATATCCCCGGCCCAGGCTACGTGGTTCGGAGTTGCTGCTGCAGTGGCTGTTGTTGGCGCGACGACCTTTGTCCTCTCATCGATCGGCAAGCCCGAGGTGAAAGGCAAGTCCACCACAGAGCTCAGCGGAGGAAAGCTGAAGAAGGATGAAGTGGCTAACGGCTGGACTAACTACGACAAATACTTCCAACAAAATCCTGGCGAAGGAGTCACCGAAAAGAGCCAAGCTCCTCAATTCGTCGACACATTCTACAATCTCGTGACCGACATTTACGAATGGGGGTGGGGTCAGAGCTTCCATTTCTCGCCTGCTCTTCCGGGGAAGTCCGATAGGGAGGCGACTATCGCTCATGAGGAGTACATTGCGACTATTTTGAAGCTTAAGCCTGGAATGAAGGTTCTGGACGCGGGATGCGGAGTCGGCGGACCAATGCGCGCAATCGCGGCCAAGTCCGGGTCGAATGTTACCGGGGTTACTATTAACGAGTATCAAGTGGAGCGTGCTCAGCAGCACAATGCCCGGAGAGGCTTGGACAAGCTGTGCACGGTGGTCCAAGGGAACTTTCTCGAGCTACCGTTTGAGGATAACAGCTTCGATGCTGCTTATTCTATCGAGGCTACCTGCCATGCTCCTAAGCTGACGGACGTCTACGGCGAGATCTTCCGCGTGCTGAAGCCCGGCCAGCTTTACGCGACGTACGAGTGGGTGAAAACGCACAAGTACGACCCAGACAACAAGGAGCACGTTAAGATTATTGACGACATTTGCTACGGAAACGCGCTTCCGGAGCTTCGGTCTTACAAGGAGATCGTGGAAGCTGCTGAAGCTGTGGGGTTCGAGGTTATCGACAACAGGGATGTTGCTGCTCCTCCCGCTCTTCCCTGGTGGACGCGTCTCAAGATCGGCCGGATCGCGTATGCTCGCAATCACCTGCTCGTGAAGATCGTGTCGATGCTGAACATTGCTCCCAAGGGATTGGTGGACGTTCACAACATGCTGACGACGGTCGCTGTGCACCTGACACAAGGAGGCGAGACCGGGATCTTCACCCCCGCACACCTGCTGCTGCTCCGGAAACCCGCTGCGCCGGCCTCCACCTAAATGTACGTATGATTGCGATCCGCTTTGTACTAAAGCTAACTTTCATTTTTTTAGAGCTGGGATCTTACTTAAATAAGGAGTATTGGAGATTAAATAATCCTCATTACTGTCTTGCTACCTTTCCCCCCTCCCCCCCCCCCCTCCCCCCCTTCTTCCCCTCCCCTGAAAACTCCAGTAGAATTCTGTGTCGCCTACCTGAGTGTTCAACCATGAATAACCCGATGACCAACGCACGCACTCGCGGGTGCTGTCGCGGGTGTTTAGTTCGCGTGGGACGGTGTGTGACCCTGTTTTTCCTTTTTTTTTTTTGTGCTACTTAACGTATTCCGCATCGCTCTCGCGTACTCCGTCGCGTAGCATCTGTGCGAGTGCGAAAGAAACATGAGGAGGGACTTGTTTGTGGGGCCAAAACCCGCTGATCCGTAGACGTTCTTCGTCGTCAGCTTGTGTGTCCTTGGGTTTGTGTTGTTTAACGAGCAGAGCCGAATTCTTGGCGAACGACTCTAACAACCTGCAACATTGGCGCTTCTCGTTTTGAAAATTCCCAGTTAAATAAACGAACAACACAGCCCCATTCCTCGCTTCCACGGCTTCGAACTGCCGCCTGTCTCTTCATCTCCTCGCATTCCCCGCTAATCGACCCGCATTCCATTTCCATTGGCCTCGACGCACCACATTCCTTTCCTCCCATATCCCTCACGTCTCCTCTCCCCCTCTCTACCCCATAATCGTAACCACCTTGACGCTGTCTCCGACCTGCCGTCTCCCACTTCCTCCGTCCTTCGTCTCTTATACCCGAAACCCCAAACCCTTCGCCGCAACTCCTGTTCCCGCCCGCCTACTATACCGTTTCCCTCTCCTCCACCCTCTACCGATCCCTCGCCGCGCCATTTCTCAATCTCTCTGCCCTCTTCAACTTTCCCTCCTCCCCTCGCTAACCCCACCTCGCTCCTCCACCCCTCCTATTCCCTTCACCCCTCCTCCACCTCTCCTCTTCCCTCTTCCACCCCTCCTCCACCCCTCCTCTTCCCTCTTCCACCCCTTATCCCCTCCCCCTGTCATTATGGGTGGCTTTCCTTTACTTCTCCCTTCAATGCTGTTGCCCACCCACTCTCTCCCCCACTCCCTTCCTTGCATCTCTTTCCCCATTCCCTCTTCTCGCTTGTTCCTCCCTCTCCTTTTCTCCCTTCATTTTCCACACTTTTCCCTTCCTGGCTTCTTATTCACTCATCACTCTACCTCCCTTTATGCATCCGCTTGTTGATTGTTCCTCTCTTGTCCCCTTCACTCCCTCCCGCTCCTCCACTCCATCCTCCCCTCCCTCCATCCCTCCTGCCTCCCTCCCGGCCTCCCTCCCTCTCTCCTTCTCCCATTCCCTCCCTCCCTCCGGCTCTCGGCCTTTCTCTCTCTGTCTCCCTCCAACTCCTTCTCCCTTCCTCCCTTCCCTCCTTCGTCCCTCTGCTCCCTCCGTCCATGCGACCATCCGATATTCGTTCATTCCGCACCCCTCTTTCTCCCTCGCTCTCCACCCACCCCCTTCCCCCCCCTGCATCCACCTCTCTATCCCTTCGCCCCATCTCTTCGCTCTATACTTCCATCTCTGTTAGTTACCTCCTTCCTGTCCTCCGTACACGCTCCTCCTCTCCTGCCCTCCCTCCCAACCACCCACACCTCTCACTCGTGTCCTCTTAACCCCACCTTTCTGGACATCCCACTCCTGCGCTACTTTCGGCCTCCTCTCCTTCCTACTCGCCCACTCACACAGTGCATCTGCCTGCCACTCCTACCCAAGCTATACTACCTAGGCGTTTGTACATAGCATCCATGTTTGCCTACGGTCGCTCACATGCAGAACAGCGTATACGGCCCACGTTAGAAGGTAGCAGTGCCAGCGTTGACCAGAAAATCACTTTCTAGCTGCATACTTCAGGATGGGGTGTTGCTTGAAATCGTTCCTCGAGCTCTTCCACTGCATCTATTTCATTCTCAGTACCGTACACGGAAACAGAAAGATGATTTCCATGATGAATGTAGATGGAATAAGTTGCAATGGAGGTATAGCAGTGCATGCATACAACACCAGTGGTAATAATTTCATCAAACAGTTTTGCAGTCTTAAGTACAGCAACACGGTGGCAACCTGAACAGGTCTGTTTACATCCTAGCATGGCTGTGCCTGCCACCATGAAGGAACACCTGCGCCATGCACAGCCATGCTCTGCTAGGATGTAAACAGGCCTGTTCCTTAATGGTGGCACAGCAGGTGTGTATGTGCCTGCACAGACGCCTGCTGTACCGTCATTGAGGCCTGCTGATCTCCTGTTTTCACCTCCATGACCATTACACTGATTGATGTTGGAATTTTTACAGTTTGTCACAATTGATTATCGATTTAGTATGGACACATTGTTGACAAGATTCACACTGGGCTGGGCTGGGCTGTAAAGGGAAGCACTACCAATCCACTGTTCTAGAGTTTGCACCACTGTGAAGCTTGTGCTTATGTACTGCCTCCAGTTCCCCCTGCAATAGGAAAGACAAGGTCAAAACGATTAAAAGCTACAACAAATCTGAACAAAGTAGCAACAACACATGGGAAGACAAAGGAGATTCGCCACCTTGGAAGCAGCCAGCAATGGCCGCAGAAAGGTGCTTCGGAAAATCTCCATGAAGGGAGCGAGTGATGTTGACTCAATGCCTGCAGTGGAGCGGGCGAGAAGGAACATTGCACAAGGTACGGAGCCAAAGCAACGCAGAAAAAGGTTAATTACTTAGTCAATTGCCCATGTATTGAACAGTAAATGCACCAGAGTATGGACAGGATGGAACGAAGGACAGAAATTATGGGTGGAGGTAAGGAAGGTGAGGAGGAAAAGAGGCAAGGAGCCTCACCAGCAGTGGCTGCAGCAGCGGAGCCATCTGATGCCCGATGGGCTGCATTGATCTCACCCACCAACTGTGAGGGTATAAAGGGTTGAGGGGGGAGGGGGAAGAATGGGGGATAAGGAGGAAGAATGCGGGCAAGGAGCCCCAGCAGCAGTAGCTGCAGCTGAGGAGCCATCTGATGGTCGATGAGCGGCACGGGTCCCATCCACTAGCTGAGAAGCGGAAGGGGAGGAAGGGGCGAGTGGTAAGGGAGGCAGGGACAAGGGAAAATAAGGGCATATCTAGATCTGGCTACCTAGATTGCGGCAAGAGTCATAGAACATGAAGACGAGGATGCACGGTGGAAGAGCCATCACCACCCTCAAGGTTGAGGCCGGAGGAGGCTGCGAGTTTTGAGTCGACTCAAAGCTACTTCTGAGTCGACTCAAAAGAGCCATCACCACCCTCAGGGTTGAGGCAGGAGGAGGATGTGAGGTGGGTGGCCCCGGGCTATCCAGACACTGAAGAGCAGATCCAGGGGACAGAGCTATTTAGAGACGGAGGAGCAGCAAGGGGCAAAGAGTTTAAAGAGATCTTGGTAAATTTAAAAAACACCCTGCCAGGGCTATTTAGAGATGGAGCAGCAGCAAGGGGCAAAGAGTTTAAAGATTTCTTGATAAATTAAAAAAACACCCTGCCAGGGCTATTTAGAGATGGAGCAGCAGCAAGGGGCAAAGAGTTCTTCACAACTTAAAAACACCCTGCCAGGGATATTTAGAGACGGAGGAGCAGGGGAGTGGCAAGAGGCAAAGCAGCACCTGACTGAGTGTGGGGGCTTGGCTTGGCTCGAAGTCAGCACAGTTGGCTGGGTCGATGGGCACACACACAGCACCTGAGGTATAATATACAGCACAGGATAAGTGAGCAAGGAGATTGAGCGAGTAGGATGAGCGGAGAAATGAGTGTGACAAAAGTGAATGTATGAAGTGAGTGAGAAATGCGTATGAACAGAGCGAGTGAGAAAAGTGAATGAACGGAGAGAGTGAGAAATGCGCGCACCAGACCACAGCTGGCACAGACTCGGGCGAATGCAAGGCACACCGAACCGATCATATTTAAGAGTAGGGGCGATGGAAGCATAGCGGGCCGGGTAATGAACAATAAAAAAACATGTTTGAGCCCACGTAAAGATCAGAGCAGGCAGCTCACGGAAAGGTGCTTCATGTGAAGCCAACAAAAAGGTGTGCTTACTGTCCTTGTTAGGAATGACTTCTGATCTAAGAGATGGCGCCAGAGCAGAGAGGGAGAGAGTATAAGAGAGGCTCACCTGTCTTAGGGTGCACGCAGAATGGTGCTTTCAGCAAATGGTTCTTGTGCTTAGACACCTGTGAGGGGCAGCGGGGCAGAGAGAGACAGAAAGTCGATCACTAAAAATTTTGCGTGTAGAGAGATGACTTTTGAGGTGCCTCAAAAGTTCAGCAAGTGGTTCTTGCACTTAGACACCTGTGAGGGGCAGCGGGACAGAGAGACAACTTTTGAGGCGCCTCAAAACCGCGAGACATGAGACGACTTTTGAGGCGCCTCAAAAGCAGAACGGTGCTTTCAGCAAGTGGTTCTTGCGCTTAGACACCTGTGAGGGGCAGCGGGGCAGAGAGACAGCGAGGCAGCATTGCAGCAGGAGGAGCGAAAAAAGGGTTGCAATGTAGTCAACTCACAAGGGAATACATGTAGCAGGGTGCACTGTGATGCAATATAGTAAGATCTGATAGTGTGCACGTGGGCACGGTCTACACCTACTATTCTCGGCGAGATACATCTTTGGTTAAAGTTTTACACCAAATACTATGGACCAAATCAACTGACCATTGCAGGTCGTTCTAGAGAATTCTGAAAAACGACACACCCAGGGCAACTGACCGGAGCCACACACACACCCACCCACACACACACTCACCCACCCACACACACACTCACCCACCCACACACACACTCACCTCCAGATCAAGTCGAGGGTACGTGAAGGCAAACACAATCTCCTCCACAGCCTTCCTTAGGGACACGTTCTGCAAGGGAGGAGTTGAGGCACAAAAGGAGCACGCGATGCCGCAAGTTTCATTCTGAGGCGCCTCAAAAGCAGACTCATGGGCGTGGAGGCCTTCCTTAGCCTTCCACAGCCTCAACACAGTCTCCTCCACCACAGCCTCAACACAGTCTCCTCCACCACAGCCTCAACAATCTCCTCCACCACAGCCTTCCTTAGCGACACGTTTTGCAAGTTGACTTTTGAGTCGACTCAAAATTCAGAGGCGAGAGTACGCACAGGCACACACGATATCCCCCACATGGGAAGGTGTTGAGTAGTTTCTTGGCTGCCAACCACCACATAGGGTACAGGTTTTAAGACGTCTCAAAACTCGGGTACCTTTTTAGCTGCCGGCAACCAAATAGGGTACAAGTGAGTGAGGTGGTCACCTTCTTAGCTGCGGCCCGTGTGGTGGCCTCCAGCTGCTGCCACCTGTACACGTTGACGTCAGCAGCTGCTGACGCGCGCCTGCTGTCGCTACGCCACGTGGCGTCCATCCGATCCTGCAGCTCTGTGAGATTGGAGGGGATTGAGGGGGGATGATTGTGGCAGGGAGGGAAGAGGGGGGGGGGAAGGAATTTGGGGGGAGAGGGGGAAGGAATTTGGGAGGAGAGGTTTGGCCTAAACCTGAAACCCGAAACCCGAAATCCTGATTCTAAAACCAATCTTCATCAAGCAGTTGGCTAGCAGCTCTTGATTTGGCTAGCAGTTGCCCAGTTAGCTAGCACCGTTTTCACCCTACCTTGGTCTGGCAGTTGATTCAGCACCCTCTTCCACGTGTCTGGTTGGCTTAGCAGCTCTTGATTTGGCAGCCCCCTTTCTTGATCGCACCTTTTGCACCAGCATTTGGCCCTGCACCCTGAATCCCACCTTGGTCTGGCAGTTGATTCAGCACCCTCTTCCACGTGTCCGGTTGGCTTAGCAGCTCTTGATTTGGCAGCCCCCTTTCTTGATCGCACCTTTTGCACTAGCATTTGGCCCTGCACCCTGAATCCCACCTTGGTCTGGCAGTTGATTCAGCACCCTCTTCCACGTGTCCGGTTGGCTCAGCAGCTCTTGATTTGGCAGCACTTCACCCTCGAACGTGCCTCTTAATACTTGGTCGTATGCCCGCCTGGAAGGGTAAGGAGAGGCAAAGAAGGCAGGCATGACATGGAACAGAAGGAGCTTCAGTGCGGTTCAGTGCAGTTAAAAAAAACATCAGAAGCAGCTCTCGGTTGGGCAGCACGTCACCCTCAAACATACCTCGCAATACTTGGTCGTATGACCACCTGAAAGGGTAAGGTAAGGGCGAGGTCATATGGCACGGAACAGGAACAGACGTGGTACAAAAACACACACACACAAAGTTACAACTAAACGCTTCTTGCATTGAAAGGTCATATGTTGCACAGAAAGAGTTACCCAGGAACCGAAACCATGGAAGAAAATATGCTTTGCTCACATAACAAGAGTGCAGAAAAAACGCTCACTTGGAAACTCGAAGAAAGGAATTCCAGAATATCCTTTGCTCACTCGAGGGAAGATGCTTTGCTTACATGAGGGTTGCTTTGCTCTCATGGAAGATAATCTGCTTACATGAGGGAGGGGTGCAGAGCAGCACCGGAGAACGACACCTTGCTTCCATTGGCTTCAGTTCCCTGCTCATTGTGTTGATATGGTGTTAGCGTGGTGTTGATGGCGTTAGTAGAACGTGAGTCATTGAGTCCAATTCATCAAAGCACACAATATGAAACAAACCTATTTAACCTCGAAGAGCATTTCCCTGCCAATGGTGTTACAAGTGCACGAGTGATCATATGTTGGACATCCCAATTACCTTATACACTCGGAAATATTCAGCCACTGCAGACCGTTGCTCATTGGTTAGCCTGACGAGGGTTGGGGATGGGAAAGAGGAGGGGAAGAGGGGATGAGGATGACCAATTTTCCGATCACCAACTTTCCATATCACAAATTTCCCTGCCTCCAACTTTCCCCACGCCAATAAAGGGGTAACCATCTCTCCTCTCACTGCCCAGCCTAGTGCAATGCTTTACCTTTTCCAATTGTGAAAAATATGTATGCACTAACCTCCCCTCCCCTCTTTGCTCTTCTGTCACACACAGGGCTAATTTTATCAGTGTGAATCACCCTGATACCCTGATTATCAGGGTGGTTTTTGGTAGTCACACTGATGGCCTAGGGTAATTTTTTGTGGAGCTAGGATTTTCCTGATATGCCAGGGTTTACATTTAAGACACACTGATGCCTCAGGGTTACCGTTCTTCATAACGAGTTTTACCCTGAAGCGAGTACCATACCCCCCCCCCCCACTTCCCCCACCCCCCCTTTCCCGTAACCCGGGATTCCCGATTGCCAACTGTCGAAACCGGAATTTCAGCCTGCTGCAGTAACTGACGACGAGCAACACCCATGTGGCATGTATGATGATCTAAAATTTTTATTGTGTGCAACGATAATATCAATTCATCAGGGTTTGCTAAACTGGTACACTGATGCCACAGGGTTGGATTTTCAAAAACAAGAAAAACACTGATGGATCAGGGTTTGAAGAAGGTGTCACACTGACAATCAGGTTTTTGAACAGGTGCAACACTGATCACAAGGGTTGCTCAAAACAAAAAATTAGCCCTGGTCACACACCTAGCAATGGTCGCCTTTTCGTCAAGCGGGCTCAAAAGAAATAAGAAGCGCCAACCCCTCCTCACCTCCTTGCTCGTCTGTCGCACACCCAGCAATGCACGCCTCGTCTGCCACTGAACACCCACAAAATGTGCTCGAAACCAAAATCCTCTGGCGGGTGGGAAGAAAGCCAGTGGGGAGAGAGAGTCCGAGAAAGAGAGCAGGGGCATGCATAGTGAGGGAGCGAGACGGAGAGAGGGAACCAGGGAGGGCACATTATGAGAAGAGACCGGAGGAAAATGCTCATTGTAAAAAAGAAGAAAAGTGCATAGAAGAAAGAAAATACCTCTAAGGGCAGTGTCGACGACTTTAATGGCAGCTGTCATAAGCGGCCAGCATTTTGTGCACACCGACGCCCCTGAGCAGCAAGTTCGCACATCGTCGTAGTCGCTTATATCCTGTAACGAGTGAGGCAGAAAAGGAGAAAGAAAGTACAGTCAAAGTACGACATGGGTAGCCAGCATTTGGTGCACACTAACGCCTTGAACAGCAGATTCGCAAATCATCATAGTCGCCTTCAAATTCATTCAGACAATCCACGTCGTAAGTGATCGACAGTTAACACAGACTGTTTCCCCGGTTCAGCAGGTTCGATTATCGCTTAATTCTTGTGACGAGAATATAGGGGGAAAACTGACATCGTTATCATTACGACCACGAGAAATAAGTCTGCGTGTGCTTTCGGGGTGTACTCAAGTCATAATAACGAGAGATGATACGAACGAGAAGTGGCACTTACGATGTCGAAGACAAGCTCTCGTTCAACAGGCGCGAACGCGCTCTCCGACCCGATTCCTTGATACGCTGCTCGTCTCGCCGGCTGTTACATACGAAAAAAGACATGATAAGACCGAGGAGAGATTATATGTACTGGAACGAACACAAGCTTTCCTAATAGATCCCTTCACACACTGCTCGTCTTTCACGCTGCTATTTCGAGGAGAGTAGAACCGTTCATGTGTTCTCAGAATGCGACTTGAAACTCGCTGCCTGCCAGCACAGGAAAACTGACGCGCGGTTCGAAACCTTGAATTTTGAAAACGACTCGTTTAGGCTTACGTACGTCGACGTTGTAGACGGCTCCTATGTCGATCTTATGCGGATTCTTATCGCGGATTGCGGCCTCCATGTCCGCCGCGTCACGAAACGACTGGTATCGCACGTAGATGTCGTGCTCTAGAGTGAATGAGAACTCGCGACGCTGAAGATACGACGCGTCGGTTCCAGGAAGTTTCCTGTCGTTGCCGTACGAGAGCCAGCGAGCCATGTCGGCGTAGGGGAAGAGGCGGCGATAGTAGATTCTTAGTAAATCCGTGCTGAAACACGATTCGGCGGCGGACGGTTTAGTATCTTGCAGCTCGGCCTCATCAGCAAGGTCTTTATTTTCAACTTTCGCAGGAGGCTCGGAATGGTCTGTCATGTTCTCGTCGGATAAAATTGGACTACCCATTGATTCGAGCACAGGTTACAGACTGTACGAGTCAGAAATGAGCGGCACACGGTTTCTAGAATAAGCTGCACGCTGCCACTGTAAGAGTATAGATTTTGGAGCTGAAGGGTGGTTTGAAATGGACGCCAGTCGAACAACTTTCGTTCACAGCAGACAAACGAGCTAGCTATCACAAAATGAAAAAATTCTAGTTGTCAGGAGCAGTGAAACGGCAGGCTATTATCAATTATGTCAGGGGACGGACAGAACAGATGCAGCAGCATGAAGAGGCTAGCAGAACGGACAGAACACCCCAAGGGAACCCAGGGAGTTGTTTTTGGCGGGAAAAGTGCAGAAGTGCATTTGAATCTGCAAAAACAAACTGGTTGAGTCACAGCGGACATCGATATAGTCAGAATCCGATAGTGAGCTATTCCAGAGAAGTGTTGTGGAATGACACGGATACAAACCAGGTTCCGTCGCATGATTTTCTCGACGACTTGTCGTCAGAGGTTTTGTGGCCAGATTTCTTTCGCCCCGAAATCGCCATCTTTCGCGTCCAGCAGGTTGGGAGCCTTTGCCCTGACAGTCCGGACTGAAACTTTCAAGGTCCCCGGAACGAGGAAAATAGGAAAATGGTATGAAAGAATATTGTCTAGCTTATAGTAACTCCCAGTAAAGCCTACCCAGAACCGATTTTGGTTTCTTGAGCTGCCCGCACCAGAAAATCTCTCCCGCAAAACCAACCACCAGAAAAACCCTCTACCGAGATCTCCACAAGCCATCGCAAGCCACTCCAGCCTCTTTCTGCACACATACACCCCATCCCATCCAATCCCATCCCATCCCACAAAACAGCTCACCTCACTCCTTGGTTTCCTAACAGGTCCATCCAGAACTGGTCTTTCCTATTGATCCAGACTAGTCCCCTATCCTCTTCTTTCTCTTTCTTTCCCTGATTCCGAAGGCACTCGGAGCTGGGTATCGCGAGTTACCTTTGCTAGATAGATTCGTCTGCCAGGATGGAGTCGGTTCCGTTAGCTGCCTTAAACGGCGACTTTCCGTACCGTCGCTCGCAAGCGGTCGAAGCTGGTTATAACGAGAACGGATGGGTTGGCGTCGATGGTAGCGGCAAAGGAGGGAAAGCCTCTCATGGGAAGCGCCATGCGAGTCGCTCGTCCGCGCCTTACGCGAGACCTACTTCCGGACGGCACGCTGCCGCTGGCTACGCAGCAGCAGCGATTCGAACTGCCACGTCTACAGCGGGATCTCCGGGGGAATCCCAAGGCCGCGCAGACGCGTTGCAAGAAGCGCCGGGGAGGAATGGTGAAAGGAGGGATGAGCCGAAGCAAGACCGAGTGGAAAGCGCGGGAAGAGGCTGGTTTGGCTCGTGGCGGAATTCGATTGGATCGCTCGTCAGATGGCCTTGGAGCTCGCGAGGTACTCAATGACGAATCTTAAATAACGCATATATCTATGTAGCGAGATCGCATCAATACCGTGGGTTTTGACGATGCGCTCTCGTGGTCTGATTTACGTTTAGTGAAGTTAAGCGGAATTATCGATCCGCTTACTTCACTTTCTATACCTTCACGCTTATCGGTAGGTTTTCGACGTTTCAAACCGCGTTAGACAGCATTGTTACTGCCTAGTCTAGTATCGAGTCGCCGTGTTGACGCATCCCGTCATCAACGTTTCCAGTAAATCGCTTAAAATGCATGACCTTTTTCCTGATGTTCTCTCCAGACGGTAACCGGCATAATACGCAAGGCGAGCAGCAAGGCGTGTCGGACAAGCGACCGTCTGACGGCGCAACTAGCAGCGAGCCGGCGGAGGGAGCGAATGTTTTGGCTGCTGCTGCTGCTGCTGCTGCTGCTGCTGGTGGCAGTGCTGCTGCTGATAATATCCGGGATCGATCGGCGGGAGGAAGGAACGGGAAGCAGGGGAACGAAGGCGCAGTGTTGACGGAGGTTGATCAACTGCTGAGACGAGGGACGCCGCTTTCGTTGTACGTACCGGTGCAGATTCACAGATAGCCCTTTATTTTGCAGGTAGGTGTTTCGCGGTTAATTAGTCACAGAGAACGGGAAATATGGGGACGAAGGTGCAGTGATGAACGGTCACGCAACTGCCGAGACGAGCGATGCCGCTTTCGCTGTGCGTGATTCGGATTCGTTTGCTGGTAACATATATCATTGGCTCAGTGTTAACTCGCGGCATTTGTTTCTGTCATTTGTAATCTCCACTGGCTGTATATAACGTTCAATGTAAGGGATCACGTTCACTTGGAACTTATGATTACTCCCTTGCGTGTCACCACATTCTGACACGTGTCACGGCCCCCCCCCCCACAGGCGCGAGTTTCAGCGGCTGAATGAGCTGCTACGTCAGCACGTGGCGAGCGGCGAAGCAGAGAGGGCAGATGGCACGCAGGAGGAGAAGGATGAGCAGAACGAGGAGGGGGAAGAAGAAGAGGAAGAGGAGGGGAGGCGGCAGGGAGAGGAGGAGGGGCAAGATGGGAGGGTGGAGGCGTCTGCAGGGAAGAGGAGGAGGACTGGGGGCAGAGGCAGTTGGGTTGCGGCAGATGGAATGGGAGGGCAGGAAAATGCAGCTAACACTGTGCATATTGCACCTCGAGTTACACCTCGGGCTACACCTCAAGTTACGCCTCGGGTTACGTCTCGGGTTACACTTGATGACATTCCTGGAGGTGCTGATGGCGATGGAATGAACGTCTCACCTGTAGACGTGGCGAGGGCGTTCATGCGACCCAGTATGGCCGCTTTTCCTGCAGCAAAAACACCACCCCCGGCACCAGTAGCAGCAGAAGCGGTTGAGAAGGTGAGTGAGTGGGTGGAGTAAAATTGTTGCCTGTAGATGTGGCAAGGGCGTTCCTACGACCCCCAGTATGACCTCTTTTCCTGAAACCAAGCCCCTTCTCCCCCATTGGCTTGCCGTTCCGTCCGTTGCAGGGGGTCAGCCTTCGAGCGTGGACGCCGTACCAAACCCAGCTCACGCCAGCAACCAAGGTGAGTCTGTCACGTCATCCCATGGAAAGGATAGGAAAGGAAAGGTAAGGAAAGGAAAGGTGTGGGGTTGAGAGGAGCGATCTCGTTGCTGCACTCTCAATGCTCGTCGCCACATGTCTTGCCAAACTAGAGTCCTTTCTTTCTTTCTTTCTTTCTTTCTTTCTTTCTTTCTTTCTTTCTTTCTTTCTTAACATTGGTTCTAACTTTATTTTTTCTCCCTGTCCCTCAATACGTGTATTGCCATTGGCAGTCTCGCAAGCGCAGCAACGCACAATTGCATGAACCCAGCCCACCCAGCGCAAGCCCTTGGGGTGCTGTACCCCTTATAAGCCCCGCCGCTGTTCTTCATAGGCGCAGGGGCAGCATCGTTCCAAGTGCAGGAGGGCTGCGTAACGGTGGGACTGGTAACCAGAATCGCCAGAGGAGAGTGTCGTTTTCGCCAGCAGTGCTGGCAGCAGCAGCAGCAGCGGAGGGAGAGGAGGATGGGGAGGAGGGAGGGTGGAGCAGGAGGATGGGAAGAGGAAGGGCTTTAAGGAGGCTGAGAGAAGGGGATAGGGACGACTGGTTGCCTCTGCAGCAGCAGCAGCTGTTGCAACAGTTAAAGAGGGACCAAATCTTAGCAAGCGTTCCTTCCCGGTCAGCTCAATCTGCCCGGAAAATTCTGGACACGTTGGATCGGATGGCTGGGGCTTTGCCTGCTGCGGAAGGTTTTGGGCGGGCAGGGGAAATGAGGAGAGTGAGTGGGGGTAGTGAGGTGCGGAGATTGAAGGGGAAAGAGAAGGTTGATGAGGGAGAGAATGGTGGGGAGGGAGGGGAGAACGGGGTGAGAAGCAGAGAAAACGAGCAGCAGTTGCAGCAGCAGCAACAGGGACAGCAGAGACAGAAGCAACAGCAGCAGCAGGAGCAGCAGGAGAAGCAGCAGCAGAGGGGTGATGTGCTGGGAAGGGAGAAGGAGGGGGAGGAGGGTGGGGAGGTGAGGCGTGGAGGGGCTTTGGTGGATGGTGGGAAGGGAGAGGATGGGCAGGGGACGAGGAGAGGCCGCCATGGGTTCAGAATGTCTGTATTCGAGGTGAGATTCTGGATGGGTTTGAATGGGTTTGGAGGGCTTGGAAGGGTTTGGAAGGGTTCGGATGGGATACCAGCGGTTTGAGAATGCCAATCACTGTAACTCGTTGCTAAAGCCCTCAATTACAATGACCACCATTTTGCATCAGCTTTTAGTTTCGTTTCTCTCTTCTGCCTGCTCTTGTCCGACTCTACTCCCTACGCTTGAATCTTGTAACTCGTGCCATTGCCCTCAATGTTCGTTGGCTCACAGGAGGACGAGGAGGAAAGGCCGAGCCAGGAAGTAGCAGCAGGAGGAGCAGCGGGAGGAGGAGCAGGAGCAGCAGGAGCAGGAGCCAGCAAGGCGGCAGATAGAGAGGCAGCTAAAGGAGGAACGGACGCTGCTTCTGCGGCTCCTGCCGCTGCCACTGCTGCTGCTGCAGCTGCAGCTGCTTCCATGAAGCCAGGAGGGGATGGGGTAGGGAGCCGAGTGGGGCCTGATGGGCAGCAGAGCGAAAGGGGGAAGGGCGAGGAGCAGAGCAAGGAGAAGGGCTCGCTTGCTTTCGCTGGAAGGTGAGATGGATGGTGAGGGGCGCTAGTTTTGGGGCTTTTAAATTATAGACTGAAAGGTGAGTGGGTGGAGGGGTGCTTATGATCGAAATACTCATGCTTTATTGCCCATTCCCTCAATCCTCCATTCCCGTTTCCCCGTTCCACTTGCCCAGTCTCCACGGCTCCTCAACCGTTCCCCCCCCCTCATTTCCATTACACCTCCTTCCGCTTGCCCTGCCCCTCTCATGCCCACCCCCTTCTTGCCCACTTCCCTCCCTTGCCCATTCCAGTTTCTTCGGCTCAGCAGCACATGCAGCCACTCTCGCGCCACAACCCACCCCTGCAAAGCCAGCATCACCAGATTCCTCCCAAGGCAAGCCCACAGCAGCACCCGCTGCAGCACCACCTGTGGCAGCTCCAGCAGCAGCAGCGCCATCCTTTGGTGCGTCTGGGTTCAAGGCCCCTACCTTTGGCTCCTCTGCTGCTGCCACAACCTCTCTCTTTGGGTCGTCTACCCCTGCTGCTGCTGCCCCTGCCCCTGCCCCTGCTGCTGCTGCTGCTACCTCTGCCAGTGCTCCCTCTTGTGGCATTTCCCTGACACCCTCCGTCCCCCCTGCCACCGCTTCTCAATCCGCACCAGCAGCAGCACCTGCACTCACAGGAGCTTCCCCAACAGCAGGACCGCTGTTCGGCATCAAACCAGCAGCTGCAGAGGCTTCTCCTGCAGCAGCAGCAGCAGCAGCAGCAGCAGCAGCAGCAGCAGGAGGAGCGGCTTTAGGGACAGCACCAGCACCAGCAGGAGCATTGTTTGGCTTTAAACCAGCGGCTGCTGCTCCAGCTGCCGCAAAAGATGCAGGAGCGGCTACTGCCTTTGGTGGCGGTGATGGGGGGGATAGGGGGAGAAGGGGAGGAGAGGAAGCGGGTGATATGGGAAGGAGGGGAGGAGGCGAGGAGGAGGAGGCAGAGCCGAGGAGGAAGCGGAGGGTGTCGTCGTCGCCTGTGGGAGGGGAGGCGGGTGGTTCACCTCCTTCCCTCTTTGGCTTTGGAATGCCTCCTGCAGGTGTGTGCTTGCTCCTTGCTCCTTACTGCTTGCTTCTTGCTCCTTACTGCTTGCTTCTTGCTCCTTACTGCTTGCTTCTTGCTCCTTACTGCTTGCTTCTTGCTGTCTCGGAATTTCCGAGTTTCCCCTACCCCTTCTCTCGCCCTCTCTCTCATCGCCGCCGTCTCCATTTCCCTCTCCTCTCTCTCTTCTCTCCATCTCCCCCTCTCCCCTCTCCCTCCAACTCTCCTCTCCCTATCTTCCTCATGTCTAAATAATTTGTTTGTTTGTTTGTTTTTTTTTTTTCTCTCTCTCTCTCTCTCTCTCTCTCTCTCTCTCTCTCTCTCTCTCTCTCTCTCTCTCTCTCTCTCTCTCTCTCTCTTTCTTTCTTTCTTTCTCTCTTTTCTTTTCTTTTCCTCTTCCCCCCGATTCCTCGCCCAACAGGGCCCTCCTCTCCGTCGGAAGCCGCAGCTCCACTCTTCGGTGCTGCCTCTGCTGCTCCTCCTGCCTCCGCCCCTGCAACCACAACCACCACCACTCCTTCTGCACCTACATTTGGTTCGGCATCCACCGCACCTGCCTTTGGCTCAGCATCCACTGCGCCGGTCTTTGGCTCGGCATCCACCGCGCCGGTCTTTGGCTCGGGATCAACCGCACCTGCCTTTGGCTCGGGATCAGCACCGTCATTCGGCCTCAGCCCGTCTTCCACCCCCGCAGCTGCTTCTGCTCCAAGCTCTGCCGCCACAGCCACAGCCACAGCCAAAGCCACTGGTTTTGCCACCGCTTCTACCCCTTCCTTCGGTCTCGCTGCGCCATCATTCGGTGGGACCGCAACCACCCCATCAACAGGCACCACAACCGCCCCTTCTTTCGGCACTTCAAGTGCCCCTACTTTTGGCACTTCAAGTGCCCCTACTTTTGGCACTTCAACCGCCCCTACTTTTGGCACCTCAACTGCCCCATCCTTCGGCCTTACTGCGACTGCTCCGTCCTTCGGCCTTGCCTCGGCTCCAGCTTTTGGTGGTCCTTCTGCTGCTGCCACTTCTGCATCAGCAGCACCTGCTACCACCACTGCCACTCCTGCCTTTGGCTCTACTCCTGCTGCTGCTTCCACCACCACCGCCGCCGCTCCCTCGTTTGGCAGTCAGCCAACTCCTTCCTTTGGGGCATTCGGCTCTGCTCCTTCCTTCGGCTCTGGTGCTGCTTCTACCACCACTGCCGCCACTGCCGCAGCTCCTGCTTTCGGATCGTCTGCTGCTGCTCCGGCCTTTGGCACCACTGCTGCCCCTGCCTTTGGCGCTCCATCCTCTCCTGCCTTTGGCGCTGCTTCCTCCCCTGCCTTTGGCGCTGCTTCCTCCCCTGCGTTTGGCACATTCTCTGGTTCATCCGCCCCTGCGTTTGGATCGTCCGCCCCTGCTTTCGGTTCCTCTACCCCTGCGTTCGGCTCGTCAACAGCTGCTGCTACAGCTCCGCTCTTTGGCACCCCAGCCACCACCCCAGCACCTGTTTTCGGTGCTCCTGCTGCCGCAAGCACCGGTGCTGCTACCGGCTTTGCCTTTGGCGCTACGGCATCTTCAGCCCCCTCTGCTTCTACCACCCCTGCTGCTGCTGCCTCCTCGTCTCCCGCTCCTGTTTTTGGATTTTCTGCTGCTTCTTCCGGACCTGCCGCCGCGCCTGGGTTCATGTTTGGCGCTGCCGCACCAGGAGCTCCAGCAGCAGCAACTGCACCAGCAGCATCGCCGTTTGGTTTTGCTGCATCTCAGCCTTCCTCCTCTCCTGCTCCATTCTCCTTCGGAGCAGCAGCAGGAGGAGCAGCAGCAGGAGGAGCAGCAGCAGGAGGAGCAGCACCCTTCACCTTTGGAGGAGGAGGAGGAGCAGCAGCACCAGGGGCACCTGGAGCAGCAGGAGCAGCAGCAGGTGCAAGTCCCTTGGGGTTTGGCTCCGCTCCCTCTCCTTCCGCTGCTCCTGGTGCCTTCGCATTTGGGGCCTCCCCTGCTCCTGCTGCCTCCGCTGCTCCCTTTGGTGCAGCCTCTGGCTTCCCAGGACCCGCTGGGAACAACAGCCCCTTTGGTGGAATGCAACAGAACACAATGTCTATGGAGCCAGCGAGTACGAATGGATTTAACATGCCAGGTGGCATGCCAACTGGATCCACTCCTCCTGTCGTTTTCGGAGGCGCGCCGTCCCCGGCAGGGGCTAATCCTTTTGCGTTCGGGCAGCCCGCAGCTGGAGGTGCTGCCCCGGGCTCTGCCCCATTTTCTTTCGGTGGTGCTGCTGCTTCCCCGTCGCCAGCGGGGAGTGGTGGGAGTGGTGGGTTTGCTGCCCCGTCTATGGTGTTTGGTGCCACTGCTGCTGGTGGTGGTGGTGGGGGTGGTGGAGGTGGGGCTCCTGCTGGTGGTGGTGGGTTCTCGATGGGAGCAGGTGCGCCCACGCCTGGGAGGAGAGTGGTCAAAGCCAAGAGGCCAACCGCAAGGCGCCGATAAGCAATATTGTTGAACATTGCAATGAAATGGCGTGACGGTTTTTGCTGCAATTATGGGTAGCTGCTGCTGGTAGTTCGGGTGGGGTGGTGATTTTTTTGGGATACCGTCCGTCAGCCCCCGGATAGAAGTGCCCCTGGGGGTATAAAAAAACACTGTTTTTTAGGGGGTGCGCTTATAATCAAGGATTTTAATAAGCGCCGACACTTATATAATGACATTTATGAAATGCGTATTTCTTACACCAAATTGTAGATCATGTTCTTGCAATTTGAATCGAGTCGAAACTATACAGGGCTGGAATTGAGAATCTCGCACCAGTTGGCAGGGAATGATTCCCTACCAACATACAGAGTCAGAATGAGTCAACTTACGGTACGCTGCCGACAGCTCATTCTGACTGGACGCGCAGGCAATGAGCCGAGCGAGGTGAAGGGCATGGCCCAAAATATCAGGGTAAAATGCCCTGATTACCCTGGGGGCGGGCCACTTTTTCAGAGTTACCCTTTCTAAATCAGGCTCCGTAGATTTTTACCCTTACCCAAAAAGTGTTGGTGTTTTTTTTTTCCCTGATTGGATTTTTAGTTAGCCTGACGGAACCGGGGTTGCGTGACGACTACCCAGTTACCGAAACTATTTTAACGCGGATCAGCCCATTCTCCGCGTGGTGCCAAAATGTCCCACTCTCACACTGGCACCGTTGTCGCTGGTGACCACAAGCGGGAAACCGTGAAATGTTGTCGGCGGCTCGCCATGTGGCCTTATTGGCTGTCTTACCTGTTGGAAACAAGTGATTTATAGCGCCTCTGTCGCATCGAAGATAAAGACACAAACGGAACTAACTACAGCGAAGTATCACGCGAGTCAACTGTCGGAGGTTACGCGAAGGTCAAAGGTCCCCGACCTTTGACCTGACGAAACGTACAGTGCGACAGCAAGGACATATAACAGATTCGTTACAGAACAGTTACCCGAGTCGGCACTGTATCGAACCGCAACAGCAAAAACAGTTAAAATAGAACCTTATCATATTCCTTGTAATCATATAAAAAGCTTGTATGTTTTGTTATTATCAACTTACTTTGCCCTCACATACAAGCGCAAGGTGGTTCACAATCCTTTTATTAAACGCTTCCGCTACTACATCATCCTACCCTTGAATTCTGCCCTGCAAAGATCCTAAGGGCTTTCTCAGCCCAACATGGTATGAGAGCAGTCAGGGCAAATTCGACTACAAACAAGACATCTACAACATCGCAAGACATGGCAACGCAGAAGGAGAGAAGCTCCTCCAACGGCTCTCCTGGCACGACTCCTACTCCACCTCCTGCCTCTGGCCTACAGACAGAGGAGGGTACGGCAACAAGACCAAGGGCATCATCTTCGGAAACTCCCGCAAATCAAGCCGCGGCCTTCGATCCAGACATGATGGAGAAGTTCTTCTCCTTCATGTCCTTCTACGAACAGCACCAGCAAGGGGCACCTGCACAGTCAAACAACAGCAACAACAACGCAACACTGATGAGCCTAGATGGTTCATCCTACGCACGCGGAAATCAACAGCAACGGCCTACCTTTGCCCCGTATGAGCCCCAGCGTGGCTCCGTCAGCTTTATGCCACACCCGCAGCCTGCATCCGGACAAGAAAAGGCATTGGATGCACTTCAAGTTCAGTCGCAGTTCGCGCACGTCTTAAAACTGCAGACGACAAGGCCTTTCGACGGAAAGGATTTCTTTACCTGGTCATTCGACTTCGAGTTAATGATGGAAGGCGCATAGATTCTTGGCTTCTTCGACGGGTCCCTGCCATATCCAACACACGGCACACAGTACAACAAGCAGCAATACACGTATCAGTCAATGATGGCGTACACAATACTGCTGAGAAACATCACTCCAAGTCAGCAGCAAAACATACGGTCTTACCGGGGTTACGGCAACTCTGCAGAGCTCGCGTACAACCACCTGAAGAACCTGTATCAAGCAACAGACAGCGTAAATCAAAGTCGGTTAATGGCGCAACTGACGACAGTCGAAATGAAACCAGGCGAAAAAGGGATGGCGTATATCAGTCGTTGTCGCGAATTGCGCGACAAACTCCTTCGATGCGGAGGGTCGATTTCAGAAGACGCCTTCGTCACAGTCATCATCGGCGGCCTCAGTCCTCAGTGGCGCTCCACCCGCGCCATACTCCGAGCGCATGGAAAGATATCAGAAGCAGCACTCTGCGCCGAAATCCACGCTGAGCAGCAAGATATGGACCTGCAAGAGGAACGACACAAGAAGAAGGCATCAGTGCCTGAATTTGCATTCCACACTCAACGACGTTACAACAACAACAATCGGCATCAACCGAAATCAGTACCTCCGTTCTGTCATCTTTGCAAGACGTCAGGTCACCCCCGTACACAGTGCCCAAACCGGCAGCTTCGGCCTTCAAGCAGTCAAGTCACCTCAACACAAGCGAATCCGACTTCTCAAGCCTCAACGACATCGACGGGACAACCTGCGCAAGGAACAAGAAACATCGTCAGTTGCATGACACGACTGACCGACTCTTGCATCACCGAGTCTCCACCACATTACTCACCAGAAGAACAACTCGACAACAGTACGCCTCGCCGCGAGACACTTCATTCAAATCCGACGTATGCAGCTATCGCTCAAAGCGAGCCGTCCGGAAAAGATACGTGGTTCTTGGACAGTTGCTGCGGTCAGCATATGTGCTCTTCAGGACGATTTGTTCAACGTGAACACCAACTTCAACGAGAGGTCGTCATCACCGTCGCCAACAATCAGAACCTGCGCACACAACGTCTGCATATGAACTGGCCTTGTGGCCATTTGCTTGTGCTCCGAATGTGTGGTGACTTCGTGATCCACCCTGAGCTTGCTTTGTTTTTCTTGACTGGTCTTGTGACCACTTCTTCTCCCCCACTTTGCCTATGGGGGTGTGTCAGAATGTTATATTGCTTATTTTGTGTAAACGATAGTGGGGTAGTCCATAAGGGGTAGAACCCAACTAGGGTTAGTACTTGTACCCAACTTCTGTTCAATTCAATCATTCTTGTTCTATAGTTTGACACATAGTGCCCATGCAATTCGTTTGAAACAGTGTTTGTTAGGCTGGTACCATCCTTACTTTTCAAGTTGGGACGGGGGTCACTATTTTAGTTGCTGGCTTTAATCCCCGCATTGTTGAATCAGAGGTCATGTTACTACAGATTGTAGAAACACTGAGAGACTCCAGGAATAAATATAGGGTAGCTGGCTGTGTGTGTGGCAATTTGACAAATGATTCATTCACAGTAAAATGTTGTTAGGCCCGCTGGCCTAAATCCGCTAACGAATAGCAGGGTCGACTCAGTCGAGGATGAAAACGCGGCGGAAGACTTTAGCGAAAGTACTGTTGGCGAAATAGGCGAAGAAGTTACAGAGTAATAGAAGAGTTGAATGAGAATTGGTTGATAATGGCAAGTACAAGCAAGGTTGATATAGCATGTAAGAGCGAATGTTGGAAAGTACTTTGTGGGACTAAGAAATTATATTTTTTAAACACACATAGTGTTTTTCAAAATTGTGTATGGTGAAATCGAAGCTGCTTGTATTGCACAATTGGCATCGTCGAAGCGCGCTAAACGCCCTTCTCCAACTACAAAAACCGTGGGTTGGAGCTCATTTCCCTCCACCCACGTTTCTCTATTTTCAAACGGCTCACTCAACATTTCCGCTCACTTAGTTTATCCCTCCGTCCAAGCTGGCGAGGACAAAATCGCTTCCTAGAGGCGAGTCACCCTCGACTTTACTCAGCGACATTTTTAACTTCAATCACTCAACGATGGCACCAACACCGACACTTAACAACGGGAACTCGTCCAACCCCGCTTCCGACTCCGACCGTAACACCCGCGATTTGGCGGGCGAACGCCGTAACAAGCGACGGGTAGAGGATAGACCGCCCGCCCCGACTGCAGTGGACGTGCTGCTGGGCGGGCTCGAGGTCAACAAAGGGGGCGACGCCCAGCAGCACCCTTCGGCGCCTGTGGCGCCAGTGGCACCTGCGGCGCAAGTGGCGACGGCTGCTGGCGCGGCACACGCCACTGACGCCGAGCACACGCCAGCACCCGCGGCTGGACCGTTGCGTTAGCGCCAGAGGAGGCGGACGGCGGTCTCCTCGTCTGACGCGACGACCGCCCTTGCGTTGACGCAGGCGTTGACCTCGGACCAGGTCAACGCGCTGCTATCCCGTCTACAGCAGCAGCCCGTCAGCGTTACAGCCGCGGAAACTGCACTATACGCTGCATCTGCGTCGGCTAAAAAAGAAAATGCGAAAAAGGAAAAAGGCACGCAAGGAGCAAGGACGAATCGGCACGACAACGACACAGCGACAGCATCGCCCCCTGCTCCAGCGGCCGACAATGACACCGACGACTCTGAAGATGAATCCGGTGAGGCTCCAGTCAACAATGTTAATTTTAATGGCACGGAACACCTTCCCCCCCTCCCTTCTTCTAACCTCACATTTTCGGCGGCAACATTCGTCAACGACTCCGTGCGAGAGCAAGCGGAGCTGCTGGAGGACTTGCGCGCATACCTGCTGCACGCGGAATACAAGGCGCAGCGCGGGGACCCGGCGGGCGGACTCGAACTCATCTCCCACGCTCTCAACCTCATCTCGGGGCGTTTCGAGGTGCTTCAAGTGGAGGACGCCTCCGACTTCCGCACGGCGAAGCGCTTCAAGTTGTACCAGCAGAAGAGCCTGCTGACTTCTCGACCCTTCAAGCAGGCGGTCGCGGACATGGCGGCGATGGACCGGGCGGCAAGCGGATACGCTCGTGTCAACTGCGGCGGAAACAACGCGCCGATGCCGTTCTTACCCAAGCGGGGCCCCCCGCCCACGGCCAATTGCCGTGGGTTTCGGGGCTCGTGCTTCCGTTGCGGCCAGCCGGGCCACGTGGCAAGTGCCTGCCTTAGGAACGGGCATGGCGGCCAAGGACCCGCTC